ATCTGTATTCATAGCAAAAACATTGAAAATGTTTTCGTTCACTCCGGTAACTTTGAATCTATTATACATAAAATGCAGAATGATTTTTGTAGCCAGGTTTTCCAACTTTTAATGTTTTAAAATCTCCTCTGTATCTTACTAAGACAGGACACTTCACCGATGCAGCAAACTTACTGAAATTGTTTTTGTGGAAGTTTCCTCATCTCTTGTGCCACATTCAGGCTTCCCCTGCCAAGATCCTTTGCTCTTGTCCAGTTGATCTCTCAGCTCTCCTCTGCACCAACCACTAGTCTAGGTCCCCAGAAGCACAGCTAACTCAGAGGTCTTTCTCTGCTCCCTCTGTCACTGAACAACTGAAGTGAATCCAACCAGGTTTCTGAGTGTGCAGCTGACCTCAACCCTGCCTTGTAGAAAAGGAGTGAAGCAAGACGGCAATGTTTCAGTAGTTTTCTTCTGAAGGCTCCTGGGACTCGTTCCTTGGAGTCCTGCACAGCTCAGAAGGAAAAGCCCAGATGTAAACAGTCCGAGCTGTACAGATGTTAGCAGACCAGCACAGCTGTGCTCTGGTTTAATCTCCCTCACAACACGAGTCATGGCATCTCCGAGAAGGCCCTGAGCTTCTCTGTCTTGCTCAGTTGTCCTTGTTAGCCAGACTGGGCATCTTAGGATGCAGGGAGGCAACAGATTGCAATTGGGTTCGTTGCTATGCAGTTTTGCATGAGAACATAACACTGTTCACTAGAGCGCCCCAAGGGCACCCAGTTATAACAAGGGCAAGTGGTTATAAACTACTGCAAGACCGTTTCAGGCTGGACGTAAGGAAGAATTTCTTAACTGTCCGAGCCCCCAAAGTCTGGAGTAGCCTGCCATCGGAAGCAGTTCAAGCACCTACATTGAACACCTTCAAGAGAAATGTGGATGCTTATCTTGCTGGGATCCTTTGTCCCCAGATGACTTCCTGCCTCTTGGGCATGGTGCTGGACTCGATGATCTTCCGAGGCCCCTTCCTGCCCGAATGTCTATGAATCTATGAAATGTGACAGCCCCTCAGACCACTTTCGCCTGACTCATATACACATAGGGTCCCAGCTCCCCTTAAAGCCAGGGATCTCATACACAGATGGCCCCCCTCTGCCAGATCAAGCCCACGGGGTGGCCTAGTGGAGGCACTGCTTGCAGCTTGCATTCTGGATTGGATCGCCTACATGTGCAGCTTGCAGCATTTGTACAGCTCTATCCCTGCACACCACATGCAACACAAACCAGCCCCAGCATCTTGCAGAACATAAGATGCTTGGGGCCAGCCTGGAAGCCATGCTACGGACAGGATGCAGTGCCAGTCTGGGGTTCATACTGCATGTAGTATTTGCACCAGCCTGGGCGCATCTATGTAAGATGCTGCATCACTGTGGTGATGAGCTACGATGATGTAGATTATCGCTGTGAGAACGTAGTGTTGGCGGGCACTAGCCGTGTCACCACCACTGCTACCTAATAAGAGGTAGCAATGAGCTAGTGTGCATTCATGTATTGCTAGTGCTCAGTACGGTTAGAAACGATCCATGGCAGCTCCCACTTGGGACAGGCGTTGGTTGGAGTCCAGCAGCTAGAAGTTTTATGGTGTTTGGAACTTGCTCTCTTCATGGATGTTCGTATGGCCAAAAACAATGATCCCATCATGGGAGAAATTTAAAAATATCAACATTTCCCAATCCCAAAAACTGGGATTTAAAAAAAAATGTTTTTAATGAACCGAACAGTCCCAAAATATTTCGTTTTGACCTTATCAGTTTTGTCTGGACTTCATCACAGCAGTTGTCAATCTAGAGCCCATGACCCCATTGTATCCACCCTGTGGAGGTAGGTCTTTGGATGCTTTTGGTAACAGAGGGCTTCTCTGACCCTGCGCGGTGCTGTACTGCAGCTGGGCAGCAAAAAGAAGCAGCACTGGGGAAAAGTGGTAGTAGTCACCTGGTTTTGGTATCAGCCTAGTTTTCCCCTGAGCTGGGTCAGTCTGGTCTAAAAGTGGAAAATGTTGGTGATCTCCCACCTTATCATATTGATGTGTCCATTACATAGAGTTACAGAGACATCCCATGAGCCCTCCTTGCAACCTTCAAGAGAAAAGTGATTTTGTCTTCCCAGTGTGGAAGCCAGCACTTTCTGATGGTATCTCTGATTGGGAATCTCCTTGATATCACAGGTATCCTTCTTGACATCTTGCAATTGGTTGGATTTATTTTAGGTGGTGCAGACAGTAAAACTGATGCATGAAACATTACTTCTGCACTTCAACAGTGTGAACACAAAATGATACAAATCAAGTCTCATTGTCCTTACAAAGCTACAGAATTAACCCATCTCCTTCTTTTTTTATAAGTAAGCTGCACATGATAGTATGAAAACAATAGTTTCATGAGTTAATTAGAAAAGAAACATAAGTAAAGCAAAGTCATGAAAGAAAGATGGACATATTGTTCTTGGAGTGGATCAGCCTGTGGAGCAGTTTCCTCAGGGCAGCTTAGATCTCCCTGTTCCTCATGCTGTAGATGACCAGATTCATCAATGGAGGCACCACTGAATACAGAACGGCTGGCAGGAGATCCAACTGGCCAGCACCTCATTTGAGTTGGTGGGAATGGACATGGTTAGTGCAAGTGGGCACCAGTTTATTCTTGTGCTGGTAGACTATGCCACCAGTCCCAGAAGCAGCAGCCATATGCTCAATCTTGTCCAAAGTGGTTGCCTCAGTATTTGAAAGTACTCTCTTTCTGGAGAGCTGTTAAAGAAACAGGGCATTGTGTTTATGTCATGGCTCCTGCAGGAGGTCTGAGCACTCTTAAGGTCCATTTGGTGATCTCAGTTCACCATCCACAAATAGATGTCTTGGATGAGAGATTCAACCAAACATTCACAGAGATGCTGTGACACTTTGAGGCTGGGGAACCCCAAAGTTGGGACAAGCTACTGCACTATTTATTAGGGCTGTGTGAAGCTTTGGGTGCTGATTCGATCTGGAGTAGATTCGGCCCTATTCAGCAGCCGAATCTCTGAATCTGAATCGAATCGGGAGACCAAGAAAAGCTCTGAAACAATTCCAAGCCTCCAAATCGATTAAAAAAAGATTCAGCAATGTGGGCAGTCCTTGCTCACCATTACAGGGAGCTGGAGCCAGGCTCCATGCTGATAAGTAGGTGGCAGAGGGGGGAGGGGACCATGGTGGGGACCCACACCAGGCCCCATCCCTGCCTGCTGCCTCCGCCCCTCTGAGTGCCCCCTGACTCCCGCCTGCTCTCCCAGCCCCATCAATGGCTGCCCCGCCTGGCCCCAACATCCCAGCTCTTTAAACAACAAAAAAAGGCCCTGCACTCACCAGTAGCTGCAGCAGCTGTCAGGGCTTCTGGGGGCTCGTGGCAGAGCCGCCCCTCCCTCTCCCCCGCCATGCAGCATGGGGCAGTGGGGTGCAGTGGCGATCACTCTCCCACTTGGCAGGAGCCAGTGAGTGCGGGGCTTTTTTTTTTTTTAAAGAGTCAGGATGCTGGGGCCAGGTGGGGCAGCCATTGACAGGGCTGGGAGAGTAGGTGGGTGTTGGGGGCCTGTTTGATTTGGAGATTCAGCTGATTCAGCAGCAGCCAAATCTCCAAATTAGATTTGGCCAGATGGATTCAGGACAGTGTTTTGATTGAATCAAATCAATCAAATCAAATCAATTTGATTTGAATCAAAGCATTGTCCCCCTAATCAGCCGAATCCGAATCCATAGTGAATACTAGCTGCTTCACACAGGCCTACTATTTATAATTTGTAATTTAGGAGGTCCCATCATCATTGATGGGCTTTTCCCCTTTTGCATTGTTGTATAGCTGGCAACCCCAGGAATATTAGACATCTTACAAGAATCTTTGTAGGCTCAGGGGCAAAGGGCCAGAATGTGGTACAGTATGTCTTTAAGTTGCAGGAAAAGCTAGATTAAGTGGGAACCATATCTGGTCTCTCCCAACAGTGACTAAAAGCAGTTACTGACCCCTCCAAGAAACAGCACATTCCCTAAAGAGTTAACCCTTTGAAATAAATGGTTAAATCCCAATAATTCATTCTTATTTAGAGACAGATTGTCTTTAGGAAATACAAACAGCCTTTCCACCATAACAAAGGTAACATAGCATTCATAGATTTATTCATTTCAATGTAATCTGGAATCGGCTACATAAATACCAGACTAAACACAGTAACACGTTTTTAGGAACACAGTAGAGACCCACGGACACATAAAAAAAATCAAGAACCTGGGGACAGTGTTGTCCAAGCATCTATAGACACTTATTTTTCATTCCTTCGCTAGTGAACACACAAGCATATTGGTCTGTTAGAAAACCCCAAAGAGTTTCCCTATTGAGAACCCCAGTACAAAGCAATTAAAACAATATGTCTACTCTTCAAATCCTCCCCCCCAAAAATCCCACCTAGTCTCTTTAAATCAAGATTGGATCTTTTTGAAAGGAAAGATTAAATCTTAACAAAAATCAATCAAATGAAATATTGCTTTTTACAGTCTATTGCTTTGACAATCACAGCAACCTATTCTGGCTTCATACAAAATTACTTCATTAAATCAACCAAATGGTCAGATGAAAAAAACTTGAAAGGAAAACAAGAAATCCATTGGTCCCTCAGTAAGATTTTTTTTATCCTCCAAAATAGAAAGAACCTAATACCTATCAGATATCTGCTACAGACCATTTTTTTTTGCAGGCAGTGTCTAAATAAGATGGTTGATATGTGTCTCTTCATAACGAACATCATGAGAGCAAGAATACAGAAATGAAAGATATATTTATTTGGGAACTCTTATGTCACATTTTTACTACACTGAAATTTGATTTTTTCATTTTTTTTTACAGTAAACTGATTTCACATTATATTTTCACAGAACAAATACTGTCATCACATCATTATAACTGTTAGGAATAACAGAAATGAACTACAGTCTAGAGAGGGAGTCATGAGAGGGAGACAAATTTGTTCTTACTGCCAAATAACATCCTACAGATAAGGTTCCTCAAAGAAGCCTTCAGCTCCTTGTTCCTTATGCTGTAAATAAATGGATTCATCAATGGAGGAACCACAGAATACAGAGCAGCTATGCTAAGGTCCAGAGCAGAGTAGGACCTCGAAGTGGGTTTCATGTAGGCAAATGTGCCGGTGCTCACAAGCAAGGAGACCACAATGAGGTGAGGAAGGCAGGTAGAAAAGGCTTTATTCCGGCCTTCTTCAGAGGGCAATCTCAGCACTGTAGGTAAGATCTGAACATATGACACAACTATGAAAGCAAAATAGCTTGACACTAAACACATACAAAATGCAATAACCCTCAGTTCTCCGAGATATGCAGCCGAGCAGAGCAGCTTGAGGAGCTGGGGGATTTCACAGAAAAACTGATTGATTATGTTGGAATGGCAGAAGGGTTTGCTGAATATGCTCCAACTGTGCAATGCAGAATAGAAAATAGCACTGACCCATGCACCGGCAGCCATTTGAATACAAGCTCTCTTGTTCATTATCATCCGATAATGCAGTGGCTTGCAGATGGCAACATACCGGTCATATGCCATGATGGTGAGGAAGGCAAGATCAGCTATACAAAAGAGTGGGAAGAGGAAGACCTGGGCCACACATCCGAAATAGGAGATTGTCCTGATGTTTGAGGGAGAATTGGCTATTGACGTGGGGATGTTGACAGAGATGGATCCAAGGTCAAGGACGGACAAATTCACCAAGAAGTAGTACATGGGGCTGTGGAGGTGGTGGTCCGTAGTTACAGCAGTGATAACAAGGAGGTTCCCCACCAGAGCTGCCAGGTATGCTGAGAGAAAGATGACAAAGCGTAAGATCTGCAGCTCCCGAGTGTCCGAGAAGCCCAGGAGGAGGAACTCGGTTACAGTGGTCCAGTTGGACATCTTCCTTAGTGCATTTTGCAAACCCTGTGGATAATACAAGCAGAGAAACGATAAGGAGGAGAGTGACAAGCTCAACAGTTTGGATATTCCCGTCAATAATCTCTCCTGAGCAGTGTTCCAATGTTTCATGATAAAAGTGCAGAATATTTTCAGTTAATTTCTGCCCCCTCCTAAAATGTTGATAATTAAAATAAATAATATTTTCCCACTACATTATATGAAATGTATACAAACACCAAACCAACTGAAAGAATACTGCAGTCAAAAGCAAGTTATATAATTATTTGATTGGGACAGCAATGTCGTGGGAGAAACCTCCCTAAGGTTTGTTGTCTAGCTGTAATTTGATTGACAGACAACGCGGGTAAAGAAAGACAGCTGTTTATTTGCTCGAGCAAAGACTATAAAGCCAGCAAAAGGCAAGACTTTATGGTTAACAAAAAAAGCAATACTTGGGCGGTGTTCTTTAAATCTTTGTAACAGCATATTTTTATTAAGCTGAACTAGCACTTTTTAAAAGCTAAAAGTTAAGTAACAGTAATATTATAATGTTGAGTATTTTTCTGGAGGAGGAGGAGAGCAACTGCATGTGGAGCCTTTAGGATAAGGGGGTATCCAAGGACTAATTCCTGGGCTTTCTCGACTATGGTTGCAGCTGTTGCCACTGTGCGAAGGCAGCCTATTTCCCCCTTTGCCACTGGATTTAATTGTGTAGAGAAGTAAGCTATCGGGCGTTGGGTGTTGTCTAAGGGTTGAGTAAGTATCCCAGAGGCTATTTCTAGTCGCTCATGGACAAAGAGCGTGAAAGGTTTTCGATAATCTGGTAGCCCTAGGGCAGGGGCAGAAGTTAAAGCAGATTTTATATTACTGAAGCTGCGGGCGGCTT